GTTATGTAACGGAGCGATGACTCTGGAGCCATTTATTAACTGCGGGACCTTAAGCCCATTCTATTGCTGTGATTCAATGCCTTCATCTCAAAAGTGGAAATGATAAAGGCTTCTCAAAGTTAGTGTTAGGTTCAAATGCAAACTGTTCAGAACAGCAGGTAACACATTGTAAGTGATGTGTTTTTATACAGTCTTACAATTTAACTAGTAAATCACACTCTTTTTATGAGGGAGGAAGAGATTAAAGTTCAAAATGGGCCAAGTGACTGGCACTGGCAGTGATGGAGATGCTGTCCAAGTCCAGCTCTCATTGACCCTAGCCAACAGCCCTGCATGGAAGACACTGACTACATTTTAGGTTTTAAAAGATATGAATCATGGGGGCTGGAGAGATGGCTCAGAGGTTAAGAGCTATTGCCTGCTCTTCCAAAGGTCCTGAGTTCAATTCCCAGCAACCACATGGTGGCTCACAACCATCTGTAATGGGGTCTGGTGCCCTCTTCTGGCCTATAGACATACACACAGAGTACTGTATACATAATAAATAAATATTTAAAAAAAAAAGATATGAATCATGAGAAAACAGTGCCTAGCAGTCATATATCATACATATCACAACACATATTATTGATTCATTTAAAATATTCCAAATTAGCTGGGCAGTGGTGGAACGCGCCTTTAATCCCAGAATTCAAAAGGCAGAGGCAGGAGGATCTCTGATGAGTTCAAGGCCAACTTGGCCTATAGAGTAAGTTCCAGGACAGCCAGGGCTATATAGAAAAACCCTGTTTGAAAAGAAATCAATCAATCAATCTCCCAAATTTAATTTTCTGAAATCTGAAAATAAATTTCAACAAGTCCCTTAGCATCTAATATTCTGTACTTTAAAGAGCATTGACTAAGTAAGACTGGTCACTGAGTGAAAGAGGCCTTCTCTTCTGTTCCTGCCTCCTTGAGTCAGATTCATGCTAGAAATTTAAATGTTTTTCTCAGGATGATGCTTCTAATTTTCAGTAAAAGATGCCTATAAAATAACCTCACTGTGCTGGACAGTGGAGGCACATGCCTTTAATCTCAGCACTTGGGAGGCAGAGGCAGATGGATCTCTATGAGTTCGAGACCAGCCTGGTCTATAAGAGCTAGTTCCAGGACAGGCTCTAAAGCTACAGAGAAATCCTGTCTCAAAAAAACAAAACCAAAAAAAAAAAAAAAAAAAAAAAAAAAAGCCAACTCCTCACTGCTTGTCAAAACACAGTAAGTGTAGTAGATACAGTAGAGAGAGAAGGTCTTACTATGCAGCCTAGGCTGGTACCATGTCTCAGGATCCTGAGTGCTAGGATTACAGGCATGTGTCACTAGTCTACCTGGCAAAAACAAAATACTTGGCTCTTTTATGCATGGTAGGCAAACTTTTCCAGTGAGCTATGACCCCAGACTTGTAGCTGGAAAACACAGTATGATGCAAGTAGAGCAACTCATTTAAATTTCACATACATGCACACTTGTGCGTGCACATAAACACTCACACCACACCACACCAGACCACATGGCTCGCATGGGCCATGGTAAGGCTTCCAATACCCTAGCACATCTGTTGTCTCAGTCAGATGGATTCTCTTCTCTCCAGACTCCCGGTCCCTATCTTGTCTGAAGCCCCCACGCATCTCCTGTGTCACAAATTCTCCCACGCTGTCTTCCACGCACAGCCGTCTCGGCCCACGTGCCTAGTTAGGTTGATTTACCTGCGGGCTCACTTACTAAAGCAGTTTTCCCCAACCACCAGACCACCTCCTAGGTGTCCCAAGCCCACCACACACATTTGGAACCTGCTTCTAACTAACCCAATCTTTCTTACTGGCCAGACCACAGGCACAGCAGGGCAGGAGAGCTGTCTGCCTGTTGAACATTACTTCCCCTGTTCTAGCACAGTGCCTATGAACAAGCAGTTGGCAAATGAAGTCATCATCAGGGGGTTGCAGAGGGTAAGAACATGTACCCAGCAACATGAGACCTGGGTTGATCCCTGGTATCACTAAAGAGAAATTAATACATTCATTCAATGGGTGAATGGATATTCTAAAGTTTCCCCACTCAAATTCGACACCTCCTTTTTGTTTGTTTAAGATAGGGTTTCACTATGTAACTCTGGCTGTCCTGGAACACACTATGTAGACCAGGCTGGCCTTGGAATTCACAAAGATTCAGCTGTCTGCCTCCTGGGTGCTGGAATTAAAGGTGTGCATTACCACACCTTGTGCCAGACACCTAGTATCTCTAAATCTTTTCACAAGCAGAAATACCCAAGCTACATAAAACGAATAAGTTATGAGCTTGTCTTGGAGAAAATGTCACAAGGAACCTCAGGTTATATATTTTTAAATAACTATATGTAAACTATAAGCAAAAAAGTTTTTAAAATAAGCTTCATACACCACATATTTGAGTCACAGAACACAGCGATCAAACTGGTCCTCAACCTACTGGCTAGCTTTCCTAGTGCTGGAAGGTGCTGTGCACTCTAGTAGGGGAAAAATGCAATCTTCAGTCTCACTCAGCTGTGATCTCTTGGAGCTACCGTAGTGATGGGCTTGACAAGGACAAGATAAGCCCACGTGCAACAGTGGCATGAACATTAGGGACATAACTAAATGTCTTCTGATTGATTCTAAAGCCTGCTCTGTGAAATGGAACTCATTTGTGGTTGGACGGGTGACAGGCCCAAGAGGACAATCTAGTATTGTTATTCTGATAAATGGACACAGCATTAAACCAACTTTTAATGGCTTATTTCTGCGTCCATAGATCAGTACATTGCTTAATACTAACCAGAGAAGTTTCTCATCATTGTGGATAGCAATTAACACAGAGACCCTCAAATGGATAGAGAATTAAGAGCCTGGAGTGCTCAATCCTATATGACACAAAACATATCACACCCTACTCCTAAGGCTCAAGGAACTTAGTGGAAGAGTAGGTGAAAAGATTATAAAATCCAAGGATGTAGATAACAACAAGGAAACAAATGTTTTCCGGGCACAACAGGACAGTTGCTCATAAGCACTCAGTGATTGTGACAACACCCACAAGACTTGCGCAAGCTCAAGCTAGACAAAATCCCAGCAACAACTGAGGAACTACTGGCATTTCATAGACACCAGGAGAGGGAGAGTCTGGCAGGCCCCCTCTGGAGAGTATTTGGGCAGCAGTAGCTGGAGGAGAAGGGAGTGAGGGTAGAAAGGGAGGATACGGCAGGAATTAGAGAAGGGGAAGCAGGGTGAACATCAACGAAATAAATTGTGTGACATTTTCAAAGAACTAATAAAATATTTTAAAAACAAAAGCTTCAGAAGAAAGAAGGTAGTAATGCCTCCACCAAAGCCCGTCACGCGCACACACACTCCCAACAGCAAAGGAGACCAGAGGAAACCGGGACCCTTAGGACCTTCCTAAGCCAGTGCTTCCAAAGTAAGTTCATCCTCTAATGGAAGGCAGTGTGCTGAGCCACAGTTCTCAGCATATCCAGAAGAGGAGCCAGTGGAGTGAGGACCTTTAACGAAGGGCAAGGGGCACGCAAGCCAAAAGAACAAGTAGCAATGACTCCAGTGCCCATCCCCAGGCTTCATCCAGGAACCACTCAACAGTTCTAAGAGCTCTTACTCAGGGAAGAAAAGAGTAGACTCAACATCAAAACATCTGGGATGACATGGGCAGCCCAGAACCAAGATTCCCAAAGACTCTTCTAGAAAAATGTTGGCACAAAGAAGGATACAGAAGAGGGGAGAGTTACTATCAAAACTTCCCACACTGAAAGGGGAGGGAAAGGAAGAAGGGGATTAAATTGGGGCTGGAGAAGAAAGTGAAGTGTGAGTTTGTTGGTTGGGGGTGTAGCTGACTCAAGGATTGATGATTAAAATGCATACCTACCTCTCAGAGTTTAGGACAACCTCAAAAGGTGAATGAATGGCCTGGCCTCCTCTCTGCAGATAAACAGCACGCTAATAGGCTCTCAGAATTCAACAAACTGAAGCTCAGCTTTGAGTAATCTGCACCTAACCTAATCTCTCTGCAGAGGGCTCCGAAGATCTGTGGAGTAAAAGCCAGGTCTTTTTAAGGGCAACACCTCCCATCACTCCCTCCGACAGTGATTAAAGGGCAAACAAATAACTCAGTGCTAATTACTGCACTAGCCAGAGAGAGAGACTTCTACACGCCAACAGGTGTACTTCCGCTCCTGCAGTGCTGTGACCTCCTCAAAGGTACTGGGCCAACTCCTCGCAGCCACGTCCGTCCTTACAACACAACTGTCCCATCAAAGCGTGGGGAAACTCCAACTCTAACTGGGCAGATTTCTGGTTTCTGCATTCTCACTGACACGTTCAATGTTAACCCATTTTTCCATAATAAAAAAGTTTAACTTTAAAAACGCACCCAGTACAGTTCATAGAGCAAACAATTTATTAAATAGTGCCTGCTCGGATGAAAACAATGCTCCCTGAGAACCATCTTCACGGCTGAGGAACAGTTCTAACTTCTAGATAGTTGAGGAAAGTGCTTCCAACAGCTAGAAGGGGGCAGGGTGCTATTTTAAGCCATAGTGCTGGGCAAGGCAAGGACACGGTTGCTAATATCTGCATCCATTTTATGACAGAGTCTGAAACAAAAGAAATACTCGGAGAGAAAAGCCGAACGCCAGCTCACACTTCGTGGTTTCGGACTGCGGAGCTGGAGTTTCCGCTACCTCGGTCAGCAGGGGGATGACCCTGAAGGTGCGTAGGGAGAGTGTCTGCGTGGAGACTCTAGAATACCGGCGGCTGCTGGCACTCGCTCGGCACCCTGCTACTGGCCTAGGGCCCAGGCGAGGCCGCCCCTCGCCCCATTCACGAGATTGGGGTGTCCCCGCGGCGGGCCCGGGTTGCCGGTGGCACCCCAATCCCGGTCCCAGCCGCGAGCCGGCGGAGGGCGCCGCCTGGCGCAGCGCGCACAAGAAGGCCGGCACTCACCGCTCAGGTAGTTGGTCCACTTGTACAGCACGCCCTCCATGGCGCCCGCCGGCCCCTCGCCGCCCCGGCCCGCCGCGGGGGACACCGGACCGGCCTCACATCCCGGGCCCGGGGGCGGGGTCACCGCGACAGCCGAGGAGCACCCGCTTCTGGTCGGGGGTCTGCGCCTGCGCCAGGCGCGGTCGGCGTGGACTAGGCGGAGCGGCCGGCGAAGCGAGGCGAGGGAGACGCGGCCCCTGGAGCGACGGTCGCGGGCGCCTTACCGCGGCCACCGAGCCCACAGCGCCCGCCCCGACGCGCTCGCGCATGCTCACTGCGCCGCGCGCACGCTCCCAATTCCACGCCGGGGTTTTGACCGCGGCGCCGTGGGGCTCTCGGGAGGGCTAGGCGCGGTTGCGGACGTGGGTAGTAGCGGTTCATTTCTGGGCTCTAGTCTCCAGGGGTCCAGCTTTTAATATCAAGATGATCAGTGTAGAATGATTCGGACTGAGACCCGGATGAGGCGAGTCTGTAGTGCGTTTCCGGATGCACTCCAGTGTGAGATGCTATTCAAAGGGTAGGGCCTCTTTGGTCCGCTGGCATTGACTTCATCTAGGGTTCTCTTAAAAATTCAATCTCGCCCGGGTTCCAGACCTTTTGGATCCAAAACAAAAAAAAAAAAAATCTGCATTTTCCCAAGCTCCCTAAGGGGAATGCCTATGCACAAGAAAGTGTGAAATTGCACTGTTGTCAGGATTTTTAGCCAAGAAAAGTGTTAATCACAGGTTAAGTGAAAAGAAAATGTTGACAAAGATACAACCCAAATGTCACAGAAACGTGCTCTGAAGTGCTAAAGTTTGGGCATTTTCTTTTCCTTTAATGTAAGGTTGACAGGCTCAGTAAATAATAGATAACTTAATTGGTTATTTACCTGAACTGCACACCTTACTTAATGCCCTGTTTACTTTTGGTTTAATCTAGAGATCTTCTTTTGGAGATTCCCAGTTTCTTCTCAATCCTCTACAATGGGCTACGTCTGAGATCAGGGCAACAGTGTAGAACTAGGAACTTTAAGCTGTATAATTCTTAAACACTAATGCCATTTCTTCTTTAAAGAGAGACGTCCTTAGCTATTATTTACTCTATCCTAAGACCACTCAAGTGATGAATCGCTAACAACAGTCACTAACAGTGGTGTTTGTAGAATGAATCAGGTCTAGCCTGAAGGCAGAGTGCAAATTCTTCATGGTCAAGTGACCTTAAACAGGACACTAACTTCTAGCTTTAATTTGTCTATCCTCTGTCCGGGCTAGTTGAATGTCAACTTGACACAGGATTTGTCTGTAGGCAAGTCTGTAGTGTATTTTCTTAATTACTGATGGAGGATCCAGCCCATGGCCTGTGGTGCCATCTCTGGGCTGGTGGTCCTGGGTGCCATAAGAAAGCAGGCTGATGGGCAGATCTCTGTGAGTTTGAGGCCAGCTTGGTCTGCAGAGTGAGTTCCAGGACAGCCAGGAGAGTTTCACAGAGAAACCCTATCTTGGAAAACAAACAAACAACAATAGGAAAAGAAAAAAGAAAAAAAGAAAAGAGAAGCAAAGAAAGGAAGGAAGGAAGGAAGGAAGGGAGGGAGGGAGGGAGGGAGGGAGGGAGGGAGGAAGGAAGGAAGGAAGGACGAAAGAAAGAAAGAAAGAAAGAAAGAAAGAAAGAAAGAAAGAAAGAAAGAAAGAAAGGCTGAGCAAGCCAGTAAGCAGCATTCCTCCATGGGCTGCTTCCAGTTCCTGCTTCCAGACTCCTGTTTTGAGTTCCTGCCCTGACTTGACTGGATGATGGACTGTGATATAAAGTGTAATAGATAAAAATTCTTTCCTCCCCAAATTGCTACTGGTCATGATGTTTTAATCCAGAAACTAAGACACTGTCTAAATGGGAAAAGTAACCACGTTAAGTTAGTGAGACTCTTGCCCCAGAATGTTCTTCTTTGGGAACCTTAAAGCATTCTTCTAATTCTGAGCCTTCGTTTATGGTATGGAGTGTGTGTGTGTGTGTGTGTGTGTGTGTGTGTGTGTGTGTGTGTGTGTGTGTGTGTGTGTGTGTGGTGCTGGGGTCCTCTCTAGTATCCGGTCTTTGCAAAAGCCCAAGTGTCACCTGGCCCGGGGCTCTTCAGTGGCTCAGTTGGAGTTCTTCACAGAGGCCAAGCCCTCCCGCAAGGTATTAAGTGTTAGCTCAGCACCCAGCTGCCCTCCCAAGGTGGGAGAATCTCCTAATCCGCCGGCTCTAGGACTACTCGGAGAGGCTGGACCCGGCCTTCTGTCCCAACACCACACCGAAACACTACACTGTTGCAGTGCCATTGGCTGGAGAGGAGCCTGAGTGACAGCATCGCCAGCCAGTAGAAGGCAGTCTTTCCCCAGCAGCCTCCAGACCAGAGCCAATCATGTTGGGATGGAGCTTAACTCTTTAAAGGAGAGTTCACAGCGTGTGGGAAAGTTGGTAGTAAAAGTGCCACGTCTTCCTGGGAGGTTGGGGGGAGTCCTAAACTTACCCGGGGCTGTTGCCGCTTTCGGCACCTTTTTAACTCTATGAAGTCGGGGGCCCTTTCTCTGCTTTGGTAACATGAGTTTTTTCTTGTGGAACGCGATCTTGACACTGTGGGTCACGGCTGTGAGTGGAGCTTTGATCCCTGAGCCAGAGGTGAAAATCGAAGTTCTCCAGAAGCCGTTCATCTGCCATCGCAAGACCAAGGGAGGAGACCTGATGTTGGTCCACTACGAGGGCTATTTAGAAAAGGACGGCTCCCTATTTCACTCCACGTAAGTAATTATGCCTCGCAGGCAGAACGATGACGGACCCACCCAGGCACCCCAGCCCTCCTACTGTAAAATTAACGGTTCCTTTACCTCTAAAAACAGAAACAAAACGCTGAAACATCTGCCTTACCTATGGGGAAAGAAAATTGTCAAAAGCCAGTTTTAGAGAACAAGGCCTTGAAAGGACTTTCTGGAAACTTGTTTTGATAAGTTAAATTCCTTACAGTTTTATTCTTTATAAAATTAGATCTAGAATATTTGAAGTTTTACAGAACCACAGTAAGTCGAAAAGGCTTAATAGAATCGTCTACCTACCACTCCATTCTCTAGGTAAATTGTCTGATCCCACTTTTAATTGGTCATAAGAGATATTAAGACGTGTCACTTTGCTTCAAGAGCAAAATGCGCAATCGTCTCTTTGCCGCCTTCTGAAAGATGCACCAATGCGCTTTCATCGCCCTGTCTAACTGTCTGGCAGGTGGCATTTTGGTCAAAGCACAGGCTGGTGATTTCAGGAGTTGTTCCTTTCTTTTCGAAAGTCAGGCTTCCTCGAGGTGTGGTTTTAGAAGTCCTAGTGGAAGTGTTTAGTGAGCACGTCCTCAGGGACACTCTGGAAGTTCCCCTTCTCACCACCTTCATCCATTCATTCATCCAGCCTGGGAACCGCTCATTGAAAGGGGGCATTTCAGGTCCTGGAGATGCAGCGTTTCCTAAAAATAAGTTCTGCTCCTCCAGCAGCACTCCATGTGCAGGGAACGGGAGACGGGACAAGGCCCACTTGGTGGAGAATGCAGAATGTTCAGAGCACTGGCAAAGCGCCCGGAGCCTGTGGTCAGTTGTGCCGAGGCAGAGGGTAAAGACACATTCATAACAGAACAGCCTGGAGATTGATGTGTGGAGATTATCAAGGCAGAGCTGCAGAAGGACTTTGCAGATGAGGGAATCCTATGCGCTAAGCCTGAAGCTTTAGCTCACCTTAGGTTGGTTTTGTTTTAATAAACTGCTTTGAGACGTGGTCTTTTGTGAGGGTTGAGGATAGTGAATGACATATCTCTCTGAACACTGTTTGCCCCGGTAAAAGGTTCCAAAAACAGCCAGCTGGGAGGTGGTGGCGCACGCCTTTAATCCCAGCACTTGGGAGGCAGAGGCAGGTGGATCTCTGTGAGTTCGAGGCCAGCCTGTTACAAGAGCTAGTTCCAGGACAGGCCCCCAAACCACAGAGAAACCCTGTTTCGAAAAAACAACAGTAACAAACCAAACAAACGAAAAGGTTCCAAAAGCAGTTTGTCATAGCTTTGTCCTCGCCAGTAAGGCCAGTGCATGGCAGATAGCAACCAATGCTGTGACGCTGCCCTTCAAGATTTCAGTTACAGTCTTGCTTCCAGTCTGGTCTCTTTCATATCTAGCCTGCTCTCCTTCCGGTCTCAGAGCCAACAACCTGGGTGGATATTTTGTAGCATTTCGCTATTATGTTCCAGAACTTTGGGAAGGGACCGTCTTTATACAACCTTCACGTAAAATCGTAGGCCTGCCTAACTGGGTATAATGATAATGAAGAAATATCATTAAATAAGCCTGCAAAGAGTGTTTTGTGTTGCCAGAACCGTCATCTATGTGATGAATAGCTTAGCTGTAATAAGAAATGTGGCCAAATGTAGTTAGTGCCGATGATTGCTGCTTCGCCGTTCCTTTTGCCCCATGATCACGAGGGAACATGCAGGACAGAAGGGACACCATTTACCCAGTTTTTGTGACCATGGTACCCACAAACCTAACACAAGGATGTTTTATTCACACCCAAGAATTATTCTGAAATAGGATTCTTTCCTTGCTCTCTACCAGTCGGACTAAGCTGGTCTCTCAGGATGCTCGGACATTTTTCTGTTCCTTTACCCTCCAGAACTCGAGGGGCTACTGCTCCAGGATTTGCCAAGTAGCCCCATAGTAGATCTCTGGAGAGGGTCTGGGCATAAGTGGAGATTTAGGGTGAAAGCAGAACCATGAGTAAACTGTACATCAGAAAGGCCTGTAGGCAGGAAGTAAGATAATCCTGTTTCTGGGTCTGGGGTCGAATAGGCCTTCATGGTTTAGCAGTAATTCTCATAGCCTTGTATCTCCTTCTCAAACTCAAGACATTCCCTCAGTTTCTCCTTGGTGTGTGGCCCTCCTGGGAAGTCACTAAGACCTTGAACTTAGGGGTTAGGTATATCTGACGTCAAATGTTAGTACACTTAATTCAATTTTCTCTGTACAAAATGTTAATACTAGTATAGCTGCCCTGTCTGCAGGCTCTGTGTCCCTTGATTCAAATTTAGTATAGAATCCAAAATATCTGAAATATAGGTATATATGTGTGTGTGTTGAGCTTTATAGTTTCCGAGTTTATAAGCTTAACCACTGGTGGGTAGGAAAAAATGAAGCCCAGCAATGCTCTTTGTTATAAAGTCCCTAAAACTATCTCTAGTGTGTAGAGTTCTTACCTAGCATTTGTGGCACTCTGGCTTCAATTTTTAGCCAGGGGTGGGAGGGAGAACATAATTATTTGAATTCTGATGTGTTTTCTTTCTGGTAGTCACAAACATAACAATGGCCAGCCCATCTGGTTCACCCTGGGCATCCTGGAGGCTCTCAAAGGCTGGGACCAAGGCCTGAAGGGGATGTGTGTGGGAGAGAAGAGAAAGCTCATCATTCCTCCAGCCTTGGGCTACGGCAAAGAAGGGAAAGGTAAAGTTGTGTGACCTTCACTGCTGTGCACCTCTGAATGCCCCCCCCCCGACAGAAACCCACCCGCTCACTTTAACAATGCACAGAAAGGCCATTCAGCAAAAGTGTCTTGATGATCTGAACGTTCGGAATATAGATCATTGGCTATGATTTGAGGTGGTGGCTGTGTTTATAGCCAGGAAATCTTCCATACTGTAGGTCTCATTAGGAGCCCTTTCATTCTTGCTTTTAAATGTATTTGTAAAGTTTTCAATAGCTTATTTTAATTTTATTTATTTGTTTTTGTGTTTTCAAGACAGGGTTTCCCTGTCCTGGAACTTGCTCTGTAAACCAGGCTGGCCATCTAACTCAGAGATCTGCCTGACTCCACTTTGTGAGTTCTGGGATTAAAGATGTGTGCCACCACTGCCCAGCTCAATAGCTTATTTTAAAATAATTCATTGACTTGAATTAAAAATAATTCTCTCTGTGTTACAAGCTACCTAGCTGGTCCATACAGCTTTTGTATCAATTTGTTTCAAGTCACAGCATACCTAATGTTTAGGATGAGTTCAGGTAGCTCTTCAAGGGCTCTTTGGTGCTCTCCAAGGGTTGTTTGGTGATGCTTATCAGATGGGCCCAGCTGTAGTCTCTTCCCTGAAATCTGCTCTGAGCCAATGGCCAGGTCTGAAGCGACAGGTTAGTGAACCAGGCTGTCTACCACTGTGTTGTTTCTGATATTAAAACAATTGGAACCAACCCAACTGTGTTATCGCCAGAGGTTAGCCAAATAAGAGGTATCCTTTCTTATTAAAAGTGCCATTTGCAAAAAGTTTGTGTTATATATGAAATGCGTGTGATGTAAAAGTAGCTGATAGATTTTCTGTATGTCTGACTTTCCCCATGAGTGAAAGGGGGAGTATATGCACACTGTATCCCAATGAATAAAATATTCATAGTGTGTGTGATTCTGAGAATTACATTCATTTCTGATTCTATTGTCCAAATTCTCAATTAAGAAAATGTAGTAGGTGTACAGTGAAGAAGATATTGTAAGAAGCCATCAGAAGCAAATAGAGAATCACTCTGATGTGATTTAAATAGATTTCACACCATTTGTCCGCAAAGCATAGCCCTCGACAAAGTGGGGATCAAGCCTCTTGCCACAGTTTCCTAAGGAGGTTGAGTGCTGTATATGAATATGATGTACCCCAAAGTAGGATCAATATCTAAGCCATGTCCCACAGGCTTGGTTATTCACCAAATGCAACTCTGATTATATTCTCTACAGAAAGCCATCCAGTATCTAGGGAAGGTGTCTAATGCCTAGACGTAGTCTTCCTTTCCCGCGTCTTTGTTCTTTTGCTCTGAACTTTATGTATGCAGAGCAGCCGCAGTTGTCCATGACATACTTAACTCAGTTTTGCTTCATAGGCACTCCCTTCAATGTCGTGAAACTAACTCTTCTAATCTGTGTTTGCCACTGGTTTTGTAGTGTGTTAGTGCACGCTTGCATGCCTCCCTGGGAAGACACCAGCTTTCCCACCGACCTAGTGCATGCCCCTTCCCTGTGCCAGCGTGACGGTAAGCTCTGCCCCACCCTGTCAGCGTTGCCCTCTTCTTATTGCCCTTCCTTCTGTGGAACTTTGAGGAGATGGGGATGTAGCTAAGACTTGGCTAATGCATGTGTCCAGACCTTTCTGTTACATAGAGTTGTAAGAAAGCAAGTTTGAATCAAAAATAAATGCCCACAATTCCAAGAAGTGTTTGTTTCTTTGATTATTAATTGGACTGTTTTTGTTTGTACCCTGAGATTTTTAACGAATGCATAAAGCTCTTTGTTAGGGGGGTATTTCCTAAGTTGTTGAAAATTTTGAATGTTCCTTTATGATTTTTAAGACCCGTAAGAAAATTATGTCTTGGTAACATATAAGGCACTTACTGTTTATCAAGACTAACACTGAGGGTTTTATTTTTGTATGAGTTTTCCTCTTATGTCCTCCTCACGGACTCCTAAGGTAGAAAACATTATCAATCTTGTTTTACAGACAAGGAAGGAATTGATTCCTAGAGGCGGCAGATGTGAACAGAGCTCACACTATTATATACTGCCTCCCAGTGGCAGATACAGCACCACCACCCCTATGTGCTTGAAGGTCAAGACTTTCTAATCTAAATTAGTAAATCTCTTGTAATATAATTAAGTCTGAACTACTCAAAGCCCTTTAAAAGTCATTCTTGACGTATAACATGAAGGGCCTAATTATATTTGAAATTTAGCATCGAGACTTTTAGAAACATCTGCCTACGTGCGTGTATTTCATTGCTGCTCCGAAATAGAGTGCTTTTGTTCTGCCGTTTGGGGTTAGTCCTTCTTGTGACCTACTTTTTGTTCCGGGGTAAAGTGTAGTTATAGAATAAGTGATTCCCACCATCTGTGACCGTCAAAGAGTCTCTCCATTTGCTGTAGTTAAGATGTCTGTTACCACAGTTGATTTTGTTATGAATACTTTTAGATCTTCTAAGTAAAAACTTCCCCATCTCTTCATCTCAGGCAAAATCCCCCCAGAGAGCACATTGATATTCAACATTGACCTCCTGGAGATTCGAAATGGCCCACGGTCCCATGAATCATTTCAGGAAATGGATCTGAATGACGACTGGAAGCTCTCTAAGCATGAGGTGACCATACCCTCTGCCTCTGTGCTGTCTTCTTCTGCTTCTTTAAGACTCACCCTTACAGAAATGCATGAGCTGCTGGGAGAAGGAAGATCAGTGTTCTTCAGTGCAATGACACTGGGCATGTTAGCTACAGTCCAGGGAAGGCCTCATGTTCAGGAGTAGTGGCCAACACCAAGTGGACTCCCATGGCTTTTAGTGACTTTATTTTTAAAAAAAAAGAGAAAGAAGCTGGGCAGTGGTGGCACACGCCTTTAATCCCAGCACTTGGGAGGCAGAGGCAGGTGGATCTCTGTGAGTTCAAGGCCAACCTGGTCTATAAGAGCTAGTCCCAGGACAGACTCCAAAGCTATAGAGAAACCCTATCTCAAAAAACCAAAACAAATTAATTAATTAATTAAATAAAATAAAAAAGAGAAAGAACGTGAAATTGGGTGAAGGGGGAAATCTGAGAGGAGTTGTGGGTTCGTAAAATATGATAAAATATACTCTATAAGATTCTCAAAGAATAAATAAATGAGGGAAATTTAGTTTTGTTTAGATAAAATATTATTCACGGCTTTCCCTGAAGTGCTTTGAGAGTTGCCTTTTCTGTAGGAACCCATATTGTAAGCTGGGGATTTGTAGCCCTCCTGCTCACACAGCAAATGGTCTTATCAACTGAGCCATCTTCCCAGTCCTTGACTATGTTTTTAAAGACAATAGAAAATTGTAGCATAGGCAGTCGAAAGACACTGCTTTGATTTCCAAGTTTACAGGATCCTGGTTAGGCTCCGCTGGTGTGGTGTGATCACAGCCAGACACACCGTTCTTTCTACTTGTAGCTGTGGCTTCAGATGAAAAGCGAGAGTGTAATCTTATTCTAGGAGGACTGTCTAGAATTCTGACTCTTCCTCGAAAGAAAGCCTGACGAAACCAATGTGTCCAAAGGCAGCCATTGTCCAGGTGCGCGGCCTTGTTTGCATTCTGACCGGAGCAGGCGGTATGCATTGTTGACCGAAGCTGGCCAAGGAACACAGCTTCAGGACGGCTAATCCCAATGATAACTCTGTAGGCCACACTGCTGCCTGTGCTGTCTTTGCTTACTCATTCCATCGGAGAAAGGTCTGTTCCTTGGCAGCCACTTTTGCCAAAGCCCCGGTTATTTGCAGTAAATTTTGGAGAAAGGTCTATTGAAGGAACGCCAGAAATACTTGCATGCTCTCTATACTTGCATGCTCTCTGGGAAGAATACTGGAAGTGACAAAATATTTTTTTACAACTATTACACAAGTGTTAGGTGAACTCAAGACAAGTTCTTGTCACTACCTGACTTGTTTCAAATGGTTCTATGATAGGGTCAGAAAAGCATAGATTTGAGGCACCAGTGTTTTGGGAATCCAAGAGTAGAGAAACTTGGATATGGCTTTCAAAATAAATGTTCTTACACACCGAGTCATCTATTAGCATGCAAATCCTGCTGATTAGAATGGATGCTTTGTCTTCACGATACATGCTTCTTACAGGGCTTTGCTCCAGTGTGTCGCTGCCCCATCATGGAGCACAGTTGGCACCAACAGAGTGTGACCTCATGCCCTGTAGATCTGCCTTGCCTGGATGTAGCCTCTGGCAGGGAAGGAAGGAGGGAGGGAGGGAGGGAGGGAGGGAGGGAGGGAGGGAGGGAGGGAGGAAGATGGATAAGCACATTTTAGAAACTGGAATCAAATGAGCAGTGGGAGAATTTGATGAGAGAAAAGAGGTGGCAGGCAGTGCAGGGGTGACAGGAGGGTAGGAAGAAGAGGGAGTGACGTCTGTGGTGAACCACTTAGAGATAGACCCCTGGACAGATTTAGATGGAGCACAGATGTAAAAGAAAAGTTGTTTCTGTTAAGCATATTATATTTTTTTCCTAAAAAAAGATTTTTCTTTACCTGATTTGATTCTAGCACATAATTATTTCAAACCTCTTGATTATAAAAGCTTAGATAGAACCTTTCTAAGAGCATTTTCTCATATGTGTGAGTATGTGTGTATGTGTGTGTGTATATATATATAATGTACATATATTTTAAAACTATTAGCTTTTGATAAGTATAATATTTCTTTCTTTTATATTTGTTTTGTGTTGTTATTTTTGAGAAAGGGTTTCTCTATGTAGCTAGCCCTGACTGACGTAAACTCACGATACAGACCAGTCTGACTTTGAATTCAGAAATCTACTGACTTTTGCTGGCATCAAAGGCAGGTACCATCATGCCTGGCAGTCTAGTATTTCTTATTACACACTTATCTCTTAGTTTCAACACAGTGAATTATAGTGTTCAAGGAAACCAGGAAACATAATCTGTTTAAAGTTTTCTTTGGTTCTTGAGGGTCAAACAAACGAACATAAAAACATCCAGTTTAGGGACTGGAGAGATGGCTCAGTGGTTAAGAGCATTGCCTTGCTCTTCCAAAGGTCCTGAGTTCAATTCCCAGCAACCACATGGTGGCTCACAACCATCTGTAATGAGGTCTGGTGCCCTCTTCTGGCCTGCAGACATACGCACAGACAGAATATTGTATACATAATAAATAAATAAATAAATAAATAAATAAATAAATCCCGTTTATAAGAATGCTCGACTTGGGGGTGGAAAGATAGCTCAGTGGTTTAGAGCACTGACTGCTCTTCCAGAGAGCCCAGATCCCATTCCCAGCACCCACATGACTCACAACTGTCTGTAAGTCCAGTTCCAGCTGATCTGATGCCCAGTGGCCTCTTTTGACCTCCATGGGCACGAGGCACATGTATGCACATGCAAACATGCAGGCAAGTGCTCAGAAAATAAAAATAAATCTTAAAAGTTTTCCTTTTCTATAAGTTAAACTTTAAAAGAACATTTGATTAAAAAAAATCAAATCTCACAAACTTCTAGATTTTATGATGTTAAAAATTTTTTTGAAAGTGAATTTTATTCAGTGGTTTTAATATAATGCTCTCAAATATTAGCCAAACCTAGCACACAATGCAATATGTATGGCATGGTTAAATATTTAAAGGTTATGTTAATTCTATGAGTACTTTAAAATGCTGCCCATCTTTGTAAATCCTACATTTTTATTTTCAATTAAATTAGTATATCAACCAGTTTGAAAACCAAACCGAAGGCAATGTCCTACAAATTAATGTCCTGTCCCGCCGACTTTCCCCCTTAGTTATTGTCCAGTGAGTGGGGGAGTACGTTTGCTGCAGGCATCCTGTGGCGAGCCAATCAGTCAAGCTTATTTGCCACCATTCTTGATTCTTTTAAGAATGTGAGACTTCCCCCAAAATGCTGTGTCTACGGGACTATACTGGGAGTTAATAAGTGAACCATTTTTCACACTTGAAGAATAGTAATAAACGCAGTTCAGAGTCAGAGAATATTGGTGTATAATCCGGGAATTAAAACTGCTTATAGGGGTTGGAGAGATGGCTCAGTGGTTAAGAGCATTGCCTGCTCTTCCAAAGGCCCTGAGTTCAATTCCCAGCAACCACATGGTGGCTCACAACCATCTGTAATGAGGTCTGGTGCCCTCTTCTGGCCTGCAGACATACGCACAGACAGAATATTGTATGCATAATAAATAAGTAAATATTTAAAAAAAATATAATAAAGCTGCTTATAGATGGGAGATGAAGAGGTGGCTGTCAGTGAAGCGCTTGCCATTCAAGCGTGATGACTTGAGTTCCAGGCTCAGAATCCACGGTGGGTGTGGAAGGGTGGCAGTGTGGTCTCAGAGCAGACAGGTGGAGACTGGCAGCTCCCTGGAGGTTGCCAGCCAGTCCAAAGTTCTAGGTGAGAGACCATAAATAAGACTCTGAGAAAAGAGACTGACTTCTGGCCTCTGTATACATGCATACACACGTGCATACATGCACAACCCCACATGAACAAGCACATGCACACATACCTGAGAGCACACACAAATTTAAATGAACTGCCAAATATACAGCTTCAATTAAATGCTGACTTCTTAATATGAAGCTCTAAGAATGAAAGTGAAGCCAGCTTAAAACAAGCAAAGGGACTGGGGAGATGGCTGTTTGCGGTAAGCGAGGCCATACAGGCCTGAGGACCTGGGTTGGGAGCCTTAGTACCATGCAAAAATCAGAGTGTGGTAGTGCAGGCCTCCAATCCTGGCCCAGAGGAGACAGAGACAGGGAGCCTTGTTAGCCGGCCCGGGTGGCAGCAGTGAGCTTCAGGTTCAGTGAGAGACCACATCTCAATCTACGAGGGGGGAAGAGTGGTGAAGGGACACACACGGATACACACACAAACACACGGATACACACACACACGGATACACACACACACGGATACACACACACACGGATACACACACGGATACACACACACAGATACACACACGGATACACACACATGGATACACACACGGATACACACACATGGATACACACACAGATACACACACACGGATACACACACAGATACACACACACGGATACACACACACAGATACACACACAGATATACACACACAGATACACACACACGGATACACACACAGATACACACACAGATATACACACACAGATACACACATACACGGATACACATATACACGGATACACACACAGATACACACACACATGGATACACACACACGGATACACACACACAGATACACACACAGATACACACACAGATATACACACACGGATACACACATACACGGATACACATACACGGATACACACACAGATACACACACACATGGATACACACACACGGATACACACACACATGGATACACACACATGGATACACACACACGGATACACACACACAGATACACACACACAGATATACACACACGGATACACACATACATACACGGATACACATATACACGGATACACACACACGGATACACACACAGATACACACACATGGATACACACACACGGATACACACACAGATACACACACAGATATACACACACGAATACACACACACAGATACACACGGACACACACGGATACACACACGGATACACACACACGGATACACATACACGGATACACATATACACGGATACACACACACGGATACACACACAGGTACACACACATGGATACACACACATGGATACACACACAGATACACACAGACACACATGGATACACACATGGATACACACACAGATACACACACACAGATACACACACACACTTTTTTTGAAAAGGCAATAAAAACCTTATATTTGATACAAACATGTATATTTGAGTGTGTCTGTGTATATATGATATAAGCATTATTTTCAATTCTGAAAACTATTTGGTGTCTCCATCATTCCTGCAAAGCAAAGATGGCTTTTCTTCCTTTAGGAATGGGTCACAGAGTTGCTTTGTTCTTGCTGTGTATCGTTGCAGTGATGTAATGTGGATTATTATTAACGAGAACTGTTGTTTTGTAGGTTAAAGTATATCTGAAGAAGGAGTTTGAGAAGCACGGTGCAGTGGTGAATGAAAGTCACCATGATGCTTTGGTGGAGGATATCTTTGATAAAGAAGATGAAGACAAAGATGGCTTTATCTCGGCTAGAGAATTTACATATGTGCATGACGAACTGTGAGGGTGCACCTGCCATTGTATAGCATCCATCTGTAAAGGGAAGACGGTACCTTTAAAGAAAGTTGTAGTTTTGAACAACATTCTGTTCTTGCTTTGTTTGCTTTCAGTTTTATGTTATTTTCTGTTATTTAAGAAACCCCATAGACTTTGTAAATATCCATATCATTCTTTTAAGTTATTGGGAAGGAACAGTCATCTTTGAGTAGACTTCTGGGCCATTCCAGGTTCACACGAAGCTTGTCTGCTTGCTTCCTTCTCGCAGCAATATTTTGCAGCTGGAAACATGCCACAACAAACGGACAGGTTGTAGCACAAGTCAGCGCCCCAGGGCTTGCTCCTTTCAGGTAATAATGAAGTTTTTTCTTTACCTATCTTTGAGTCCCTGCCTGAGGAGGCATATAGTAGGCCTCATTCCTGAACAGTTATGGCCTCACTGTGGAGATGTGCAGTGTTGGGTGATTAATGGAGTTGGCAGCTCGTGAATAGATGTGCATTGAAACCTTCTGCCCAGACTGCATAGTAGCTAATGGCCTAGTAGAATAAGTCAGACAAATCATTTATGTGTTTGTTTCCTTGTAATCAATGATTCAAAATATGGTGGGCCTGGCAGAGTGTTGTATTTATGGTCAATGTTTACTTTTAAGGCTTCCAGATTAGCCTCTTGGTTCCTCACTCAATTAAGTTTACAGTTAGTACATTATTTCACAATAACAGTGAATTATGAGAGAAGTTAGTAAATCAACTAGACTATTCCCATTTCTGACTCATTGAAAAGGAGGCCGACCCATACCAACTTCTATCACTACTCATCCTGAGTTTGAAAATGGACTTTTTTCATTTTCTCTCAAATTGACTTGTAAAAATGAAGACTAATTCTGTTTTTAAAAATTGATTTTAATCAAATTGACTGTTCTCTTAAATACTTACAGCAGACTTCCCAGATCTCCATCTGTTAGACATAGGTTCTCATAGTTTATAAAAATGGGTCACACGCACTGTTGTCTGACTGTTGTTGTTCTGACACCTTTGGGAAGCTGCTGGGTCTGATGGTACCGCTTTACAGATGAGAGGTGCTGTTCAGAGGTGACGGATAAGCCCAGCGCTGGTGGTTAAGCTGCAGACGCATCTTCAGTCCCTGAGTTCACTTTTCTACTTCTGTGCTAAGGAAGAAGCAGCGAGTTTGTATGTATCAGTTGGGCCCCATTTCCCTTCGCACCTTTACCTCTGGGAACAGTTCCTGACTGATCCTGGCAGATCCCAGCTCTCCTCGGGATTCAGGAATGCCTGTGTTCTCATAGAATAATCTTCATATTTGCTCCCAGTGAGAGGGGTCAGGTCTTAGTTCACCCATTCCCATCCCCTCCTGTTTGTAGAAGTTAGATGACTTCACCACCTACACATTGACACTTTCCTAGCCAAAGCATGTCATTGGGAAGACTATACTCCAGGACCTGTTCTTGAAGATGTCAGGTATAACCGTGATTGTCAGCACTGCCTTTTTCTCGACCTTGGGAGGTTGTGGAAAGGCCTGCGACTGTCTTGAGAGGACAGTGGGGTATCTAGAAGCCTGCCTTGCACCGAAGCTGCAACCACCATCTGTGTTGGAACAAGGAAGGAGAAAGAATCTTGATTATTCGATTGTATAAATTTGTATTGGCCCTCAGCTAAACAGTCAAACAAGTGTGAAAGAAAGACATGCCGGTAATAATGGTTATTTAAGCCTTCCTCCTTTTGTATAGCAATATCGTTACACCCTCTCATTAGCGGGAATAATCAAACACCAACTGTGACTTCACATATATGTCATTTGACTCATAACTGTTCCATGTGTCATATTTAAATTTCTATGTCTATTGTGATACTCCTTTTGCAAATAAAGTTTATTTGGGAAATAATTGGTTTTGTAAAAAAAAATGTTTTGCATGTGTATACGTGTGTGGTGTTTGTATGTGTATTCGCATATGTTGGGGTCACAGATGTGTGTGCAGGTACAGGGGTCTTTCTGGATTTTTCCACCAGTGCATGGAGGCAGGATCTCTCACTGAACCTGGAGCGCTTCGTTTTGGCTATCCAGCTTGCTCCAGGAGTTCTGTTTCTGTCTCGCAAGCAAGCAGTGAGGTTACACCTAAGCCAGTTTGCTCACTGACTTTCTTATGTGGGTTCTGGGAAGCTGATGCTCAAGGCACCATCCCCGTTCCCCCCCTCTCTCCCTCCTGTCTCTTCCATGCTGAGGATGGCACCTTCTGTGTGTTAAGCCACAGACCTACCCCCATAGTTCTCACACTTTAGTCTCAGTTTCATGGTAGAGTGGGCAAGATGGACAGTGGCAGGAGACGGGCAGAGTGGAGCGGCCAGTCTCTGGGGAGCTCCGCCGTTGTGGTTCGCCAGAAAAGCTGCTGCTTCGAGTTAGCAGGAAACCTGATCATTAAGGGCAGTGGTTGATAGTGAACGTCACACAGGACTTATGGGTAGGGGAAGTCAGGAGGGCGGGTGTTGTCCCTGTTGTTTAGGTTTGGCGCCTGATTGTGTGTGTAGCAGGTGGACAAGGTTTCTGCCCGTTGAGTAGATTGGTGTCATCAAGTGCCTAGGTGATGACATGGGATGCCCTGGTTGTCACAGATAGCAAGAAACAATGATTTCTGCTTCAGATGAAGCAATTGGCTGTTTGGAGTTCTGCTTGTGCAAATGAACTGTACTTATGAAGTGAATTAGTTCCACAGTGTTGTTTAGAGTTCGGCATGCTCCCTCTCACCACAGAATTGAACGGGGTGTGTGTCTGTGTGTGTGTGTTAGAAGTGGTCCTTGGTGTCTAAAAATTCCAAGATGGGAAAGCGTCGATTTGATGACATAGTATGAAGGAAATTCTGTCACCTTTTATTTGAAAAGGAAAAGTTAGCACTGTCATGATAACTCTAGGAAAAATAACTTCTTTCCCAAAGATACAGAGCACCTAGCAGTGGCCTTTTTGTTTTGTTTTTCACTTTTTACCCACTTTAGCTTGAATTGAAAATCTAAATTATCAGCCATTATTTTAAATGTGTATGCCCGCCTAAAACACGTCTGCTTTGTGCAGGACCATCCGGCAGCCAAACTGCTTCAGTCTTCCAGAGTCCAACTGGGCCTACCCACCAAAGATCATCACAGCTGGCCTTGTCTAAAGGACACACCAGGAGGATCATGGGACCCACGCCTCACTGTCTAGCCGCCACCGCCCCCAACCACTTGTATGCAATTATGACCTAGTTGAATGTGGCCTTGGGGTCTCTAGGAGGAGCTAGAGGATAGAGGTTGGGAAGGATGAGGGGAAGAGGTTTCAGCTATGCAGCGTGCAGAAGCCATGATCCTTGCTGGGTGCCCATCTACCTGTGGGACTGCTTTAAGGTCACCAATGCCCCTACCCGCAGTCCCTCACCCATGCCCCTACCCGTAGTCCCTCACCGCTACTTTGTGAGGTGAACTTTGGTGGAATCATTTCTCAGTTCGTAATTGGGACTTTAGGAGGAGCCGTAGAGGTTCTATATGTCTCTCCCCAAGGGAAGGAATTTTAACGACCTGCTTCTCTCTCTGGCTATCTGTATGTAGTATTCATAGGAATATGATTTCTGCATTCCCTTTAGTACAATAAAACCCACAAACTCTTACCTATGTAACAATATGAGTTGATGTGAGTTTGGGGTCTGTTTGAAGGGGCTTTCTTATTCTGTCGTCTTGGGGACAGGATGGTGGAGGGACAGCTGAGCAGAAGTGTGCTTTCCTGGCACGTGCAAGGCCTTGGGTTGTCTCTGGAGCCACAAAGTGTTACACGATGCTATCTTTTTGTCTTTCTTCTTTCCTCTTGTTCCCTCAAGTTCCCTGCTTCAGAATTGTAGGGAGAGTCTGGCTTCAGAGCTCAGTCCTCAAATCGATGACAGGCACCCTTGGTGCCTACAGGTGGCAGGACCCTAACAATGGTTCCTTCCTTTGAGGTACATTAGAATCATATGTGGCGTTTTAAAAGTGGGCATTACTTATTCTTCTCCTCAGGAATTCTGATTAATTCCTGTATCTAAGTTGTGTTGAAACCCCTTGTGATGGAGGAGTTTCTTTCATTTAATAAAGAAACTGCCTTGGCCTATTTGATAGGCCAACCCTTAGGTGGGCGGAGTAGACAGAACAGAATGCTGGGAGAAAGAAGCCGAATCAGGCAGTCGCCATGATTCTCCCACTCCAGACAGAGGCAGGTTAAGATCTTTCTTAGTAAGCCACCTTGTGGGCTACACAGATTATTAGAAATGGGTTAGATCAATATGTAAGAGCTAGCCAATAAGAGGCTGGAACTAATGGGCCAGGCAATGTTTAAAAGAATACAGTTTCCGTGTAATTATTTCTGGACATAAGCTAGCCGTGTGGAGCTGGGCGGGAACACAGCCCGCCGTTCCAGGAGCCCTCCCTGGTAGTGGGACACAGTTCACCGCCACTCCTATTACAACACCCTTGCTTGCTGATCCCAATTAAGAAAATCCACAAACATTAACTGGAGGTAGTGAACTTTACAGATCTACTCTTGAATGTAGACTAAGATTGTTCACTCCTACAAATAATTTTCCCCTTATTTAGAAAGCAGTGTTCAAATAATTGTCTGAGCATCAACAGATAGCCAAAAGGAAACGAGGAGTTACTATTTTCCCAGAGTTAAAAATATGTCTTAAGTTGAAAAAAAAAATGAACAGAAAATTAGCTTTTGTGAGCATCTCCCCTACAATGAGACAGTAGGAAGCACTGGGCTTTCCCGAAGTTACTCTTTGATATTCTTTATGAAATTATCTACAGACCACATCTCTAGAAGAATGCAAGGTCAGATTAATAGAATAGTGAATTATTCTCTTAATGTGGTGTGTGCATATGCATATCTGTGTTTGGGTGTGTGTGCACAAGTGTGTATGTGTGTGTGTATGTGTATGTGAGTGTGAAACCTGATGCTAAAAAGTTTAGGACTTGGAGCATTTGGGGTTTGGGCTTTTTAGCTTAGGGATGCTCAACTGGTAAAGATTTTGGAAATGTTTTTAAGATTTATTTCTTTTTTTATGTGTATATAGGTGTGTTTTGCCTGCATGTATGTCTGTTCACCAGAAGTGAGCCTCATACCCTCAAAGGCCAGAAGAAGCCATCAGATCTCCTGGAACTGGAACTGGAGTTGCAGACTGTTGTGAACCACAACCATGTGGGTGCTGGGAACCGAACCTGGGTTCTCTGGAAGAGCAGCCAGGGCTCTTAATCACCGAGCTATCTCCTCAGCCCCTTTACAACAACCCATGAAAGTGAAGATGCTTCAGATCCAGAGCATTTCCATAAGGGATAGCCAGCCTCTAATGTGAAACACGCATGACATTTCATGCCAAATACGATAATGGACTGTTCTCTTTAGTACATGACTCCCTCTCTCTGAAAATGTGTCCTTACTATGCAGTTACAATTCCTTGTGCTCCTTAGCATCCACCATTCCACACTGAGCCCATATTTCTGTGTTTTAACCACACATAAATTATACTAGAAGCAGTTGTTTTCCTTCTGATGCAACAATGACTTCTCTCCCGTAGCTTGAGCTGCACTGAAGCCAAGTGCATTTTCATTTCATTTACTTAAGTTATTGCTAAAGAAAGGGTTAAAGCCACTTGGAAGACGGAGAGACCCACAAAGCAATCGCCCTGGGGAGTCTTTGTTTACCAGTTCTCTGTGTTCCTGTGCTGCTGGTAAAACGGCTGATATAAAATGGATGGCTCAGTGCATTGAGTTAGCCAATCATATTGAAGCCAACCTTAAGTGCCTGCAAGCTAGACTCACATCAATTTTGCTTTACGATGTGAAGAGAGATGACAGGAGACCTTTGCTGAGCTCCCTCCCCCCAGTAATTCAGAGTAAAGTAAATGGGGTCCCGTTAGTCTCTGGGAATAACTAAATTACCCCCTTCTCTGGTGACAGCTAAATTATCCCCCGCTAGGGATTTCTGGGAATTTATAAGGCATTTCATTAATTGGAAATTCCATGCTTTAGCAGGAAACAGATCATTTCTTTAGTAAACAGTTGCAGTAAAATGGGCGTGAGCACACTGTGAAGCGAGGTACTGAGAACTAATTTCATGGTCACAAAGAAGGTAAGGGTACAGACACCCTTTGTGCTAAGTTCCAGCCTCTGATAGAGCATTTTCATGTATTTTCCAGCTCTCTTCTTGCAAGGTGTGTGTTACGTAACCTCCTGGTTAGGAGACTGGAATAAAAGGGTCCACTCTATACTTGTGCCTCCTTCTCATATGATCATGTGTTTTCTAGAATTGTTATACAGTAATTTTTCTGCCAAACACAATCTGTTTAAGGTAATTTCCAGGTGGCCCTTCAGCAGCTAAGTTTAGTGAAGTCAATAATTAAACTGATGGGGATGGGGGGGATAGCTCGGTGACTATGATGTTTGATGTGCAAGCCCGCAGACCTGAGCTTCATCTCCAGCACCCAAGCGAAGGTGGAGGAACATGTGCACACCTGTAACCCCAGCATTAAGAGAGGGCAGAGACAGGTGGATTCCAAGGGCTTTCTGCAGCCAGTCTCGCCAAAAGGGAGTCAGCTGCAGGTTCAGAGGGAGACTGTAGCTCCAGAAACCAAAATTGAGAGCAAGAGAGAAAGACCCCAAATTGACCTCTGGACTCCATACATGGGCAGGTGCAGCCCCCAACAACAACAACAACAACAACACACACACACACACACACACACACACAGAGAGAGAGAGAGAGAGAGAGAGAGAGAGAGAGAGAGAGAGAGAGAGAGAATATGCTAATAGTGATTAAACCATGTAGAATAGCCAGGAGAAATAACAGTACAAAACTAAGGAGATTTCCCTTTAAGAAAACTAACATTTTACATGT